AGGATTTGGAAGGGGGGCAGGGTTTTAAGGTTTCTCACAGTCCAGGCGGTCCCCTCCCCTCTGGGCCTCTGGCCAGTGCCTGGGCACCCTGGTTCTAAACAAAGAAGAGCCTGAGAACCCTGTTTTGACGGCCCAGGCCTTTCTGCCCCTCCCCACACCTGGAAAACAGAAGCTTTCTCCTTTGAGCTCCTAGGAGCAGGTCAGGTGAGGAGTCCTGGGCTGACCTATGGTACATGGGGGACCTGGGAGTGGAGGCCGAAGCCATTGCTGGCCAGGCCTGGCCCGCAGGTCCCTTTCTTCCCACTTTCCTTGACAACTAAACTATGGGATCTAGAACTATCCTTCAGTTTCAGTGTCCCCTCAAATCAACAGATTCCTCTGAGGAGCAGGCAACTTTTGGGTTACAGATTCCAGGGGAAAAGAGAAAACAGAGGTCACCCAAGAGGGAACGAAATCTCTGACCTGTGTGGGAGATCCTTTCACCCACAGGTTCGTGGACTTTCCCATAAAAGGAAATGGGGGGGGGAGAGAGAGAAACACAACCCAGTAGAGTCTAGGGAGTGTCGGGGCTTCCTCTGGCTCAGTTTACCGGGATCATACTCAGTGGTTTATTTATTGGGCTGAACTTCTGGGTGATGAAATCAGAGCTGGGGGTTCACTGGGAGTCAAGAGCATATGATGGAATTCATCTCTGGAATGGGGTTAGATGGAGAGGGAAGAAACAGCGGGGGCTTTTCCTCCCTTTCTCCCTGATGGACAAATGGCCTGGACTCAGAGACATCTCTGCTTCCCTGTCATTTCCAAACACCGGCCTCTAGATGGGGTGGGGAGATCAAGGGAAAGACGCCCTCCGGATAGACCCCGGGCCCCAGCCGTCAAGTTCGGCAGCCCAGGGGTTGGAGCTGAGCCAGCTGGTGCATGCCTGGAGATCCCCGCTGCTCAGGCTGGGGCAAGGAGGGCGTCTTTTCCTCGACTTCCCCCCTAGTCCCCTCCCTTCCACCACTCCGGCCCCTTTACACCCTCCCCCCACCTCCTTCTGTTCCTGGAGCTTCTCCTGTGTGTGCCCACCAGCCGGAGAGCATGAGGGAGAAAAAGGCCCGCGAGGGGGAGTTTGGGGCCTCACGTCTGCACGCATCTTCTTCTCGGGCTCGTCTCACCATCTCACCAGGGAAGGGCAGTGGGAAGGCAGAGGGCAGCCGGAGTGCAGGGAGTGCGGGGGAAGGGTCAGGAACTGGGGAAAGGCCCAAGTACTCAGGATCCCCACCCCAAGAGGGGTCCAGGTGTCCACACCCACCAGAAGTGACCACGAACACAATGGCTCCAAAGTCATCAATATCCCTCAAAAGGAGCCAGAATCAGGCTTTGAAAACAGAACTGAGCCGTGGGGAGTAGCCTCAAGAGCAAAGCTTAGGAGCCTGTGTGGTCTGACCAGGGAGCCACGTGGAGGGAGCAGTTACTTCTAGCCCCAAGCCACCCGGATGCTGGAGGGTCATGGGAAACAGGCTGAGCAGGAGAGCAGCTCAGTTCACCTTGCTCCCAGGGCAGGCTAAGACTCAGGGCTCAGCGTGGATGCTGAGTTGCTTTTTTCTCCGGTTGCCCCTGGCAGGCCTTGCCCCATGCCAGGAGCAGACCAGATTTGGGTCTAGGATGTGCCCCTTGCTCTCTCTTCCACTCAAGAAGTGGGGGAGAAGAAAGGTGGGTCAACTCCTTTCTCCCAAGAGTAGGGGTGATTCAGAGGTCGGTAAGGCCCCTTTGGATAACGACAGGGGCAGATTCTGGGGATGAAGGCCCGGTTCTTAATCGCACTCCCGAGAGGCGATTTTATGAGAATTCCAGAGAAGGCGGTGGATTTTTCAAAGCATTACTGTGAAACTCTCTGGAAAATGGGAAGCCCTCCGTTCAGAATTCAGGCAGGTCGTTGAACGGGCCTCACGCGGCTCGGTGCCCCCGGTGCTCCCGGGCTCCGCGGGCGCGGCCTCCCCCGCCGAGGGCAGGCGCGAGGCTGCGCAGGAGTCAGCACCGGCGCTCGGACAGCTCCCGGCGCAGGCCCCGCTCCGCCCGCAGCCGTCCGGGGGCGAAGGAGGGAGGGTGCCGTCTCTGCTGAGGAGACTGAGGGCTTGGGAGTGCCCATTTAGGGGAGCCACCCGGCTGAAGGTCAGCATCATCCGACCCACTCCTTTGCATGTAGGGTTGTCTCCTTTGGCTGTCTTTCCTTTTCCCCCTTTGTCAGGGCGCTGTCGTTTTGGGATCTTGGCTCCAACCTTTAAAAGCCTTAGCACGCCTGATCTCAAGCTCATACCCACGCTACAGCCTCCATTGCAGTCCTAAAACAAGCAACACTGTTTTTTAAAAAATAACTTAAGTAAGCAGCATTAGAGACAGTTGGGTTCCAGTGCTCCTGGGCCTATTCAGGCTTTGGGGTGGGGGTCTTTAGGATGTAGCCCCCTTTCCAAATATTCCAGGGGTCCAGTGGGCACTGGTGTCTGGGAGGGGGGAATCCTTTCAGGGAAATTAATTCACAGATGCCTCTTCCCCTGCGGCTCAGAGAAAGGGAATGGTGAGGTTACCTTGTCTGAGATGGGGAAGCGGCTAGGGCAGGACAGGCTCCTCTGAGGTGCCCTTCCTCCGCCTCCCTAGGTTGGGGACTTCCCTCTGTGAGGAGCTTCATCAGGTAGCAAAGAGGCTGGGTGCCAGTGGGGTTCCCACTGCCCTGTCAGGGGGAGCTCCTGGCTAGGTCAAGCTCCACTCTACCTAGTGGGTGGCTAGGCTTAGGCACCCTCATGGAGTTCTGGGGTGTCCCATCAACCTCACCAACACCCCTACAAACATCAACATCCCTGAGGCTAAAAATGACCCATTCCCTTGAGTCCACTGAAACACAAATTTATGACTGAAAAGATTTCCTCCATTAATATTTCATCCTTATGACCTTATAACTTTTTTATTTAAAAATGTCCCTGTCTGGCTTAAACGGTTGTCTGTTTACCCCTGCACACTTGTTTTTTTGCAACAGTGGGCAGAGGGTTATAAAATAACAGGCTGCTCCCAACTCGGTCATTTTTCAGTGATGAAAAGATATTTTGTTTCCACGGAGGTGCCGGTGCATGTTTGGGACCTGAAGGAGTGTAAGGAGATTAGTGCAGTGCTTTGCGCTGGGGGCGCGTGTGTCTGTGTAAGGTCTGGGAGAGGCAGCGAGTGTAGCTGTTTCGGTGCCCAGTGGGTGGGTATGAGGGGGTTGGGAAGGTGGGAATCCTACCCAGGAATGTCCAGGGTCCCTGTACCTGGCCTCTGCACAGTCACTTGACCGTCTCCATCACCCAGAGCCCCAGCTCAATCTCTGGAATGAAACGAGGCCACTGTGAGAAACCGGTCCGGCTTTGCATCTCATTTACATAAATATTTATTAATCGTCATTAAACTGAACAGAAACACGCAATGCACTTCGGGTGTCCGACGGGAGTTTAATCTTCGATACAAGAGGAAGGTAACATTGCTGTGAGTGTGGGTGAACGTGTGGGTGTGTCGCCTGTGGGTTTGCATTTTGCACCGTGTGTTTGGATGCCTGGTCTCCTGCCCCCGGTGGGGAGAGGTTGTCCTTTTGCCCTTTTTGGGAAGCCTCCAGAAGGAGCCCTCAGCCCTCTCCCTGCCCACCTGCCAGCCTGAGCCAAGAGGACAACTCGGACAAGAACCCCTTCTCCAGCCACCGGCACTCCTGGGCCGCTGGCGCCCCCCGGGGCACAGTCGGGCGGGGCGGGGCTGCCCCCCGGTCTCGGCCTCCACCCCGGCCCCGGGAAGGGGCACAGGTGCCTGCGGGGAGGGAAGCCGCGGAGCTCTCCTCGCCCTGCCCCCGGACGCCCGCGCCCGGCGCGTGTGTGCGTGCGGTGTGGTGTGCGTGTGTGTGTNCTCTCATGCAAACCCTCCCTCCCCAAACCGACCCCCCCAACAGTTTGCCATTCCATACAAATTTGGAAACAGGTTTTTAAAAAACAGCGTGACGCACAACGGGGATGGGGCGGGGGGAGGGCAGTGGCACTGGGGCCCCAAATCTCCGAGTCACTGATTGTAAGAACCTGGGGAGGAGGAGCTGGCGGGCCGGCCCCACTTCACCAAAGTGCACAGATCCGCGCTGGGGCGGCGCGCCCCGGGCCGGGAGGGGCACCCGGGGCGGGCCGGGCCGCTAGGCTCAGTCAGAACCTCCTTGCATAGATATTTGTGTCTTTTTATTATTGGTAGTAGTATTTTTTGCCTTTTATTGCTTCTAAAAGTTCTTACTGCGTTTTCTCTCCGATCCGGACTTTGCGTTCGGCCTCCGTCGCCTCTTAGCTTTTTTTTTTTTTCTTTTTTTTTTTTTTTGTATGTTTGTTTGTTTGTTTAAAAAAAGGGAAAGGGAAAAACTGATTCTAGTTACAAATTGTCTTGGCTTCTCTCTTTCCTCTCAATCCACACTCCCTCCCGCCAAAATTAAAATCACAAGACGCTGAGACTAAGGGTTGGGGGTGAGGGCGGCCCAGGTCCAGGCTCGGGCGCCCTGACTTCTGCCCGCTTCAGGAAAGGGGGAAGCCCGGCTCCTTTCTGCCTCGGCAGCTCGGTGTCTGTTTTAAAAGTAATAATAATTACTTTTCCTTCTCAGAGAGGGGGAAAACTATCCCGCAGCTCAGCTGCCCCCTCACCAACGCCTCGGGGCCTGCGGGAAAAGGGAACAGGAAACCCGAGTGAGCATTGAGGGTGGGGGGTCTCCAGGGTGCGCCCGAGGGAGGGTCCCTGGGAAAGAGGAGGAGGGAGCCCCTGGGGAGAGAGAAGGCGAGTCCCCTGGGGGAAGCGAGGCCCCTGGGAGCGCCACCCACTGTTAAGAGGACCTCGCTGCGGGAGAGAGCGGCGGGCCCGGCGGCCCGCACCCCGCGCCCGGCGCCAGGGTAGGTGGGGGTGCCCGTGCGCTCGGGGGGCTGGGGACAGGGGTGCGGGCAAAGGCAAAAGAAACGGAAAGGGGCGGGCGCGAGGTCTCAGTTATGGAAAAACGCGTTGAGCTCCTCGTACATGGGGCCCCGGTCGTGGTGAAGGTGCATATCGTAGGACAGGAGGTTCTCCGAGTGGACGCCCCCGCGCACCGCGGACGAGCCGAAGACCAGCCCGTGGCCCGCGGGCCGCGAGCCGGGCAGCGCTGAGTAGTGCATAGAGTAGTGGTAGCTCTTCTCGTGGTCGGGCGACGAGTCCTGCTTGAGCGAGAAGTTGCCGTTGAGACAGAGCGGGGGGCTGAGCGGGCCCTCGTACTCGGAGCTGTTGTAGTCCGGGCTCGCGCCGCCACCCGCCGCCGCGTACAGAGTCTCGTAGGCGGCGCAGTAGCCGTGGGTCCGAAGGGCGTGCGCCGCGCCGCCGCCCAGGCCGCCCGCCGCCTGGCACTGAGCGCCCGCCAAGCGCGAGCACGGGTACGGGTAGGGATGCATGGCGAACGGGCCTCCGGAGCCGTGGAAGCGGCCCGTGCCGTCGGCGCCCTGCTCCGTGAGGAAGTTGCGGGAGTTGAGCTGCAGGCAGCCGGCCACCAGGTTGGTGGTGGGCTGCGACAGACCCTTGCACAGCGTCTGCACGTAGGACACCAGGTCGGGGCGTTTGCCCGAGCGCAGGATCTCCGAGAGCGCCCAGATGTAGTTCTTGGCCAGGCGCAGCGTCTCGATCTTGGACAGCTTCTGCGTCTTGGAGTAGCAGGGCACCACCTTGCGCAGGTTGTCCAGCGCCGCGTTCAGGTCGTGCATGCGGTTCCGCTCGCGCGCGTTCGCCTTCTGCCGCCGCAGCTTGGAGCGCTCCAGGCGCGCCTTGGTCATCTTTCGCTTCTTGGGCCCGCGCTTCTTGGGCCGCTCGCCCTCCGCCTCGTCCAGCCCTTCCTCCTCCTCCTCTTCCTCCTCCTCCTCGCCCCCCAGCTCGCCTTCCTCTTTGACCTCGGCCAGCGCGGCCTCCGGCACCTCCT